GCAACATAAGTTTTGTGTTTGTTCCAGTTGCGGAATTTATCTAGAAACAAACTTAATAACTGGTGCTGCAGCTCATACTCATAACAATGCATACTTACAGTGAAAAACATTTAGTTGTATGTGTGCATCCTGCATTTATCACATCTACTGGGGTTTATATTTTGATAGAGTGGCTGTCCACATGCAGTGACAAAAAGTATTTTATTTCATGCCAGAGATTTGTTGGCTGATGTCATGTTCAGTAAAAAGGTTTGATTAATTTTCTGAGTAATATCTTCTCTCATGGGATTATTGTCCAACTAACTGTGAACTGTTTCTCCTTAGCATCTCCAAGTTTGATGAGCGCAGTGCCTTCCTCTACGTTCTTCACAATGCAGAGGACTTCCAGATCTATTTCTGTACAGAGATGCACTGTAAAAGGTTGGTCTGTGTGTTTGCTTGACATCATTAACAGTTACTAGACTGTTAAGCGTGTTAAGATTACAAATCCTCACTTAATGTAACAAGAAATATTTAATGACCAGTTTCTATTAGTTTAATTTATAAATTTATAGTTTATATTATTTGGTTTTATGTTACCACTTTTCTAGTAACTCAGTCTTTATTAAGTGTTTTAACTAATTGCTTTATGAATGGGTAGTAAATCTGTTATAAGTCGTTAAGAACAAATTTTGTGTTGCCATGTTGCCAAATCTCTGACTGATTTGACCGTTAGACAACTTATCTTCTGGAGAAACAACTTATCTGTAAAGGATTAGAAAACAATTTATTAACCTCTTATAGCCAACAGGATTCCCGCAGCTCCTTCAAATCAAATAAGGGAAATCAAGGTCATAAATTGTCTTAAATTTACCCTAAATCTGCTGTAGGTATTAAATTTGCTGATGGTACTTTTAAGGCTGATGTGGAAATTGTACAGTGGTCTACAGTAAAATGTCTAATTAATATAACTTTTATGTTGCGTTTACGTTAGGTGCAGTAGTTGACATCAGGCGTGTGTCATATTTCATTATCAGCAGTCGGGGTTGCAAGTTGGGAAGATGCAAGTTTAATACATTAAAAGAATTATCTATAACTACATGCTTTAATAACTTTCTAAAGTGTCTCTTTTCACTGTGATTTGTCTTTCTCCATGGATTATTAGCGGTGCTAAAGAGAGAGGTAAACAAGACTGGATCACAGGGTATCAAACCACCAACACCACAATAAATGGACAACCTGCTCTGACATCCAAAAAAATATTATATTATACTATTTTTATAACTTTAATTTCATTGAACCAACATCTGATTTTTCTTATCTAGTTTTGCTCATGAAGATTTATGTCAGTCTAGAAGGGTTGTAAACTCTCTCCCACTGCAGTGAGTTTCTCGTCTCTGCTTGTGCCCATCCCTACAGTAGTTCAGACACTCTTGTCATCACTCTACTCAGGTGGGAAGTTTCACACCTCCCCGTTGCCACGAACACACCTTGTTTCATTTTGGAAACATCATGTTCCTTGCTAGCTGCTCAGTAAGACTTGTGACTCTCACATCAAAGGCTAGCGAGCAGTTCCAGTTCCATTATGTGGAGTGTGAGATGCAGTGAGTCATGCCTGCTGTTGTTATGATGCTCTCTTTTAATACAGAGAAAGGAGTGACAGTGGCAAGGAAGGGGTAAGAAAGAAGGAAGAAGTAGACGTAAGGTGGTAGAAAGAGGAAGAGTCCCACATGCATGATCGGCATATGCGCATGCACAATCACATGTATCACAGAACACCTGCAGGTATGCCATGTGTGACAACATGATGTGGCGATTTGCTAATTCACAGCTTGTGTGCAGCTAGAATGGTGAAGTTCATTATATGTATATATTTGTGTGGGAGGTGTGCCTGTAAACATACTGGAACCCCTTCTGGATAAGACCACCAGCTAAATACACTACTGAATGACAATATGTACGTACTGGATCTCAGACAAAATCTGCAAATTACATTAAATGGCTCTAAAATGATTCAGTCTAGATAGAAAAAAATTAGCCAAACGCCTAGAGTGAGATTGTCTCTTTAATACTTTATTTTGTAAATGTCTTCTTACTGTAATTGATGAAGATATCCGCTGTAATGTGGATAAGAATCTGTGACCTGACAGACAGGAACATCAGCCTAAGGAGTGTTTCACATGCTTACATTTCTAATCTTGTAAATTTTTCCATTGTGCTATGCAGTGCTGTAAAACAGTCCTTTCTTCTTTTCTGCATCACAATGACATGGTCTGTCAACAACTTACAACAGTAAAAACGTAACTGAATCCTGTCCAATCTCTTGCCATGTATAATTTTATACTGTTGAAATTGATATGACATATTGAAAAAAAATGCAGCCTTGTGCATTTTCAATCATTGTCATCAAAGTTAGCCATAGTTTACATCAGAAAACACTTAGAGTACACTGTTATATTGATAACATGGCTGAACATTTTGACTATCTTGTTCATAAACAATGACACAACGACTTGTCATTCTGATAGTGTCAGGACCGGGGGCCAGAAACTCAGACGCAGACTTAGAGAATGAACAAAGTGGTTTATTGTGCACAAGGGTGACCCGGGAGAGGTTGGGGTGAGGTGGTCGTTCCGAGGGCATGTGGTTCTGGTCCCCGAGCTTCGATGATTCCGGAGCACAGGAGGGAATCCGCGTGGTGCGTGTGCAGGTGTCCTAAGGGCGAGACAGAGAGAGTAGTTAAATACTAGTACAAGGGTTCAGACAAGATACTGATACTTATGACAGACAAACTGGCTGGCGTGCTCGTACTGTGAGGTACAACGATCCGACGGGGACTGGAAGGTTGGCTGGTCTCTTAAAGGTGTGTTGATTGCAGGCGGAGGCCCTGATGTGCTGATTGCGGATGTGCTTCAGGTGGGAAAACCTGGAGCTCAGACCACCACGCCCACCAGCAACCTCAGAGCAGCAGGCAGGCCAGGGTCATGACCGGGGGTTCGTGACAGTACCCCCTCCCCGACGAGAGCCTCCCAGCAATCCTCCAGGCGGGTGGAGGGGCCGGGAGAGGAGGGAGCAGGGGGCTGATGAGGACAGGCTTGAGCAGGGACAAGCAACGCAGAGTCGTCTCCAGCTTCTGGTTGGCTCGCTCTGCCTGGCCGTTAGCTTGGGGATGGAACCCCGAGGTCAGGCTGATGGTGGCCCCGATGGCACGGCAGAACGCCCTCCAGACCTCTGATGTGAACTGTGGACCCCGGTCCGAGACAATGTCCAATGGTAGACCGTGGAACATGAACACCACCGAGACCAGGAGTTCAGCGGTTTCCTTAACTGTGGGCAGCGGCAGATAACGTGCAAATTTGCTAAAGCGATCCAACACAGTGAGTACCACAGTCATACCTTTCGACGGGGGCAGCCCAGACACAAAATCCAGAGATAGGTGGGACCAAGGACGACGAGGTATGGGTAGAGGCTGCAGGTATCCTGGGGGAAGCCGGTTGGAGCCTTTGTTCTATGACCGGGACAGGCAGAAACAAAGGCATGGACATCGGCCCTCATCTCTGGCCACCAAAAACGTCTGCGCAGGAAGGCCAGAGAGCGGGTCACTCCCGGATGGCATGAGAGTTTGGAGGAGTGACCCCACTGTAGCACAGACGAACGAACAGAGAGGCACAAACAAGCGGCCCGGGGGGCCGTTACCTGGGTCTGGCTGATGCTGAAGGGCCGTTCTCGCCTCCTTCTCAATCTCCCACATGGCCGCCCCAATGATACAAGTCTTGGGTATTATGGGGTCCGGGTCTACCGTAGTACCCTCTCTGACGAACATCCGGGATAGAGAGTCAGGCTTAGCATTCCTGGATCCGGGACTGTAGGTAAGGGCAAAATTGAACCGACCAAAGAAAAGCGCCCACCTGGCCTGACGGGGGTTCAGGCGCTTCACTGAGCGGATGTATTCCAGGTTCTTATGGTCGGTCCAGACCACAAACGGTTGCTCGGTCATCTTAACGGCCAATAATTCCCGGTTACCGACATCATAATTCTGTTCAGAGGGAGACAACCGATGAGAAGAATGCACAAGGGTGAAGCTTATCGTCCTTGAGTGACCGTTGGGACAGGACCGCTCCCACCCCTACGTCCGAAGCATCCACCTCCACCACAAACTGCCGGGACAGGTCAGGGCTGGCCGTCCCCCAGCTGCATGGGCTCGCCCTCGGGGTCCTCCTCTCGCCGAGCGGGCTCCAGTGTGGGTTCAGGATGAGGGGGTCTGGATCGTACCGGAGCTGGAGAGCGTACTCTGCGGCGGGGGGGGTGACGTCCCTGCTGGGGCTGCCGCGTTTCTGCCGTTGTCTCTCTCGGCAGCGATTATCTATCCGAATTGACAGGGTAATGAGATTATCCAGACATTCAGGTTCAGGGTGGGACACTAGTTCATCTTTTAAATGTTCGTTTAACCCATTGATGAATACAGACAGTAGAGACGCCTCATTCCATCCACTCTCAACGGGCCAGGGTCCTGAACTCAACGGCGTACTCAGCAACGCTCCGGAGTCCCATAGGAGGCATAGGAGGTGGTTATCTGGTCCTGCCTCCTCCAGTGAACCAAGGCCCATTCCAACGCTGCTCCGCGCAGCAGTCCGATGAGGTAGGCAATTTTCGACCTTTCTGAGGCATAGGTGAGGGGTTGGAGAGCGAAGACAAGACCACATTGCATGAGGAGAGTTTTGCATTGGCCTAAGTTGCCATCATACCTCTCTGGTGGGGATACCCACGGTTCCCTGGCGGAGCTTGTGGCCGCTAATGCGGCAGGTGCGGGTGGAGGACTTTGCAGGGAGTCCTGGAGGTTTCCCATGTGGAGTGACAGATCTTGTAGTCCTCCCATGATTTCCTGAAGGGCAGTGCTGTGTTGATCCAAGATCGCTCCCTGAGTGGAGACTGCATGGCAGACCGGCTCTAGGTCTGCTGAGTCCATTCTGGTCGGATCGTTCTGTCAGGACCGGGGGCCAGAAACTCAAACGCAGACTTAGAGAATGAACAGAAGTGGTTTATTGTGCACAAGGGTGACCCGGGAGAGGTTGGGGTGAGGTGGTCGTTCCGAGGGCATGTGGTTCTGGTCCCCGAGCTTCGATGATTCCGGGGCACAGGAGGGAATCCGCGTGGTGCGTGTGCAGGTGTCCTAAGGGCGAGACAGAGAGAGTAGTTAAATACTAGTACAAGGGTTCAGACAAGATACTGATACTTATGACAGACAAACTGGCTGGCGTGCTCGTACTGTGAGGTACAACGATCCGACGGGGACTGGAAGGTTGGCTGGTCTCTTAAAGGTGTGTTGATTGCAGGCGGAGGCCCTGATGTGCTGATTGCGGATGTGCTTCAGGTGGGAAAACCTGGAGCTCAGACCACACGCCCACCAGCAACCTCAGAGCAGCAGGCAGGCCAGAGTCACGACCAGGGGTTCGTGACAGATAGCACTGCGTGTTCACTGAAGATTTGCTTTTGAGAGTAAGGATTTTGAGCAAGTTGTGGGCTTTTGCAGGTAATCCACTATGTTTGTGCTGTTTGATCGATATGTTTCGAGAAATGCACAAAAGCGAGTGAGAAAAAACTGTATGGTTACATGCAATGTTACTTTTCTTTACTCTTTTTAAATGCAGGCTGTACGGTTTTTAAAAAAAATGTTTAACAGGCAGGTATTGGTTTCTCTTTGTACAAAATGAATTAGCAGAACCTGCTCATATTGTGAAATCCATTTTATTATTGTTGAATGAATGAAGTAGTCCAACTGCTGTTTTGAGTGGTGGATAACATACATCCAAACTTATAAGACACAGTCTTGGTTTGCAAAATGGTTAGTTGTCATAGTATAAGTATGATGAGAGCTTACTCACTGAAATTCACTGTGGATTGGACAATACAAGACAGAATGCAAGTATTTGTTGTGTTGGCTCTGGTCTAGCACATTGGCTTTTAGTATTTTTTGACTTTGAGCTTTAGTTTGTGAGGGTTTACATCGATATTGGGTTGGCAGAGTAAGGAGGATCATAGCCTTATCATTGTATCCAAAAATTTGAACACTATGTTAAGGCCATGAGTCCTTCACGTTTCACCGGGTATAGATAAAACCACCAGTATTGTAGATAAAATGTGTTTCAGTGGAGCCAAATTAATAGTAGCTGTCCAAAATCATAGAGACTCCACTTTATATTGCTAAGCACCCAGCAATGAAGCTGTGTGGACATAATGTGTGCTCTCTGTATTTTGGACTGATCTGGCTTTTCTTTGGCAGATTCTGCGATCTGGTCAACAGCCTAACAGAGGAGGCCTGGAAAGGTCCAGAGGAGGGAGACTGCGAAGCTGACACCCTAGAGGTGAGAGGACTGAAGACCCGATTCCCTCACATATTGGTTGAGATATTTTTTTAGCCATGTAAACTTTGGTTATAAATATTTAAACTATCTTTTTGATAGTTATAGTTTATAGATACAACAGATTCAGTGCACAGAGGAATCGCTTACCCCAGCTTTAATAGACAGAATTCCTTTAAATACAGGAATCCCCTCACATTTTATTAATCTGAAAACACTTTTCACAGCACAGATTTAGCAAAATACATAACCTCTACACTACTGCAACTCTTTTTCAATGCATGGGTGCCAAGAAACGGTTTACCTTTTTGTTTCTGTACATTATTTTGTTACATCCTGTTGTATCTCTGTGGTGCTCTTTGCCTGCTTTTAAAATGTCACAGGAAATATGATGTGATGTGGTGTTTCCATCAAAAGAATTGAAATGCTGACAGAAAAAAAAATCATTGACCACAAAACCATCTTTCAACAGTTAATTATCCTTGTGAAAGTTCCTTGTTATAGTAGTGCTAGATCTGACTATTTCTCATGCCTCCATCAAACAATTTTTTTTTTTGCAGAATTGAATTATGAAATAATTAATCAACAATGTGTTTCCTTCATTTTTTTAAATACCATAATGTTTGGCAAAATCTAGCATGTATGAACTCAAGATTTCCATCTGGCTTTTCTAATTCAGTTCATCACAATTTGCATTATAATAACTGGATCAAAACCCAGCTGCAAACCTGGTGAAAATGAACAATAACCTGCTGGGATAAGGCCTGGATTTAGCTTTAGTGCTTTGTATGCTTTGACAGTACAGAACAGACACCTGCTGCTGCAATCACCTGTCTTCCCAGCGGAGCCTCAGGGAAAGTGAAGCTTATTCCCCGAAAACACTGCTGCACCCTTTTTGACTCAGTGGTGTGGCACAGATCAAATTTGGTTTCTCTCAAGAGCTAGTTTTATTTATGTAAGACTAAATTTACTGTCTGTGTGTCTCCAGCCTTTACACAACACGACCTGCCCTGAAAAGCAGGGTCTTAGCTTGTTTCCTGTAAACATTAATCACATGATTGAAAAAAGGAAATTATGCTGGTTGAGCCTTTCTTACGGAGGTTTCATCAGGGTCAAGGACCATTGTAACAGGTTTAAAGTGACCTGATTACAAAGAAAAAAAACGTTTAAGTTTATTAAAGCTGGGGTAAACAACTTTGGAGACTTGGCAATAGATTTAGAAAGTATCCAACCAAAAAACCCCACCCCTTACCCAAATCACATTTTTAGAGTGCACGGGCAGGTAGGCCAGCCACTCATTATATTCAACTGAATGAAATGATTGGCCGTGCTAATTACAAACCTCCGACAGCCATAGATTCCGGATTTTCTTATTAATTTTTCTGTCAGAGCATTTGATTTATTGATTGCTTTAAGTATGTAAATAGAATTTTAACAAATATTAGAAGATATAAGTAATCAAATAAGTTGTTATGTTATTGTCATATAAAGATTTGCAAGATATGTTTAAAGGGATAAAAGAAAACTAATTTGGACTTTGTTTCTGGTGCTTTTTAATAGATGGTACCTACTGTATGTGATTATTTACCATTTACAATGTGGGAACATTACCGTAGTCTGTTGGTTTCTTCAATAAAAATGCTAATGCTAAACTCAGTAGTTTAGTGTTGTATTAGACTATAGTAACCAAATGCAGTTACATAAATTATTTCAAAGAATCATTGATTTCTAATCAAATATTACACTACTGCAGGCACAGTGGTAAGAACATATCAGGTCTTAAATTGCGTTAAGTAAGTTGCATGCTTGTTGCCCTTATCTCCTCAGTACGACTATGAGTACGATGAGCATGGAGAGCGGGTGGTTCTGGGAAAAGGCACATTTGGAGTGGTGTACGCAGGCCGAGACCTCAGCAACCAGGTGCGACTGGCCATCAAAGAAATACCAGAGAGAGACAGCAGGTGAGAATCTGCCCAGACATTTGTCAGGAAAAGGCCACCATGTTGTCTTTATTTGTGACTCTAAAGGTTTCACACTGTTGTTACTGCAGAGGAAGCTTTTTTTGTAAGGAATCTCAATTCTTGTGACATTATGTCATCACTTTCATGTACAGGGTTAGTTTTAATAAGTTTAATCACCTGTTTACATCAGTGTTACCAAAACACTTTGTGTGTATCCTTGAAGTCTAACAAACATGTTTCCTTCCTCATAAAATAGATATTTTTAATACCTGGATTGTTTACATCCATGTTTGCTAGCTTGCAAACTGCTGGTCACTTTGTTAGGACATTGCTACAATTCCTTGCGCATTACAGCTACCAGTATCAGCTGTTGAATAGGGTGAAACTGGCAGCAGGAACATGTATTGCGTCGCTCATATGCTCAAGTGCATGCAGGTGCATCCTTATCTGCACAATACAAACACAACAGGGAAACTACTAGTCATCAAAAATTCCACAGGGTACCTTTTTACGAAGATAAATCCTACTATTTTTGGTATTATATTATGTATTTTTGAAAAGTGCAATTGGATCAGTTCTGTTATGAGTTTGTGCTATATAAATAGAATTGAATTGGTAACCCTCTGATCTTTGCAATAGTGCCAACATCAGACCAATATGTCATATTTGCACTCAAGATATTTTGTAATCGAATTGGCAGATTGCTTCAGCCCATTCATGTTTAGAACAGGATCAACTCTCAGCCACCCTCAGGACATACTTTACATTTTAAGCAGTTGGAAATCTTGTTTTTATTATCCTGTGCAAGATTAAATTACAGCCTGAATGTAAACAGGTGTCTGAGCTTTAATGCCTCATCTTGTTCAGCACTGCTGCTGAGCATCATTAAGAAAAGTGCTGAGACGCAGCTGAGCAGTGTCCCCAGTGGTTTCTGGCTTTCAGCGGGCTGGTATCTACTTGAGTGGCTGGTTAGTGGAGAACTGTGAAGGCAAACTCCCTCCCTCCATCTTGAGTTCCCATCACTGTTTCTGCTTAAAACGCCTGTCACCTCATAGATCTGTACTTAGTCATCTCGAATTGCAAGCAGCCGCACTTTGTTCCACTAATCACATCAGCAAGTCAGCAGGGCGCTCGGCTGCAAAGAATGTGGAGAATTTGGGTAAATAATTCACAAGAGAATTGAAATCTCAAGACAGGCAGAGAGAGAGAGAAGGAGAGAGAGAGGGTGTGAGTCATGCTGAAAGCTGACTTTGAAAAGAAATTGCTGGTTGGCATGACATCAAGATTCAGGCTGTTGACATGTCATCTATATCCTATTTATTTTCTTGTCACCTTAAGACACACAGTAACAGTGACATCTCCATGAGCCTTTTTTCTCTACTGAAAAACACTCAGACTATCAATCAATTAACTATCAGGTTAATAGAGCACATATAGTAACTTAGGATTTTTTCATGTGTTTTTATTTTCACCTGAAAAATGTCTGCAACAATTTTGATAATTGATTAATTATTTAAGTCCTAAACATAGTGGTTTTGTTTTTTTAATACAGGTACTCTCAGCCACTCCACGAGGAGATCGCTCTTCACAAGCACTTAAAGCACAAGAATATCGTCCAGTACCTCGGGTCCCTCAGCGAGAACGGCTTCATAAAAATCTTCATGGAGCAGGTGCCTGGAGGTGAGACCTCTTTTTGCGGTTACGTACGAAATAAAAGATAGAATTAGAGTTTGGTTCAAACAAGACGGCACAAAATGAAAAGAAATGGGCAGGATGCTCACCAAACAGCTTGTGCAGCATATTTCAAGTCTCAAGTACCAGAATCATCTTAAAGAAACTGTTGAAGTGGCTGTTATTGATTATCTTTGTGTTTTTCCTTTACCCTTGACCCTTACCTGAATAAAGTATACATTGCACTGATGACTATGTTTACACCACAGCTTTAATTACAACTAAACTGGAACAGATTTTTACAGTTCCAAAAAGTAATTATCAGAAAGCTAACCAAAGAGCTTATGACTCATAATCAACTTTGTACATCAAAATACTTTGTGTAACTTCTCACTAAAACA